AAGGAGTAAATCGCTCCATTTGCGTTAAAAAATCGAAATTTTTTAATTTTATTGGTTTTTAAAAAAAGTAACGATAAACAAAATTTTTTGATAATGTTTTGGCAGTCAAATTACAAATATGTTTTGTTTGTTTACACGCATGGTTCCCTTTCGTGCGGGACTTTTAGTTGATGGATCAAAGTCAGCTCGAAGGCCGCGGCGACTTGCGTGTTGTGGGTTGCAGGTGTTCGCTTTTCAACGATCCGGAAAAAAGCCTGGAGATCAATAGCGGTAAACTACTGGTGCCTTGGGCAAATAACTCGAACCTAACTATTGACCGGTGGGTTTGTTAGGAATTTATTAGATAGCCATAAATGCAGATACCTTTTATGTTGGACTATTTTGCTGCGTTTTCATAGTTAGCTTGCTTGCACTATTGTTTTGTTAGGGCATTTGAATTTCTTTGAACGTGTGTCCTTCTTGAGCCAAGCTATCCTCGGTTCGTTGTAGATTTGATTGCCGAGGCTACTTGCAAGACGTCACCGAGTACGATGCGGACAGTATCGTGCAAAGATTAGGAAGTCAAACTGCTGAAGACGCGGACCTAGAGGAAATGTGTAACTACGAGCGTTACCTCGAATTGCAGACCGACACCCACGATGTGGCAATTTTACAGGGTGAGTGCACTAAACACGAGAGTGAAAGGTCGCCCTAAGTGGCGCTAATCACCCTTGCTTCTTTGGCTGACCTATTGGCGGCCACCTTGCGACTTTTGAATCCTAGTTTCTCACGTGCTCTTCAAGGTAGCTGCATTTCGTTTCTCCGAACTCGGGTAAGTTTTACTTGTTTGTTTCTGTTTAAATTTCTTTATTCGTAGCTACCAGTCTCTGCTTCAGCTTCCTGGTTTCGATTCATGATAGAGATATTCTTCGATTTTCTGCGTTGAGGCGACTCCATTGTTCTCACTTCATTTGGATGATGACGAAAAATGGCATGTAATTAACTGAACACTAAATTTGCGAACACTTTCTGTCCATGCAGAAATTCCTTTCCTGTTTGCTCATTACTATTCTCTTATTTTCCAGGAGACAATCCAAACAAGGAGACGGAGGGGGCAATAGGCACATACACAACTGTTGGTTTCTCTTACGACGAAAATGAGTCAGAAGAACACAAAGTAGCTCAGGATTTACCAAGTTGGTTTTATTTAGCTAGTTGCGATAAGACTTTTTGGTTATTAACTTGGACAACTTTCCCGAAATTTAGACTCCAAGGCAGCTAACGTTGGCCCTGACAAAAATGAGACTTCAAAGGAGCATGTCTGCGAACCGTATATTTGTCCACCGGATCTAGTTCTTCCTTCGGGTGTAGTTTTGCCTGATTTTGAACGGCAAGCTACGATAATAGAGAAGACAGCTGTCTTCATCGCTCGGAACAATGCTCAAATGGAAATAGTACTTAAAACCAAGCAGTCAAAGAACCCTCAGTTCAGTTTTTTAAATTACGATGACAAACTCAATCCCTTTTATAAAGAATTAGTAAAACTTATAAAAACAGGCCGTTATATTCCCCGGCAGAGACCTCTCTTGAGTGCATCTAGGCTGCCCGATCCAAACGCTGTCGTGAGTCCAACTTCATCCCCTTCTACTGTCTTTCGAATGTAGATTTCGTGCCATTTCTTTGCTTTACCCTATCACCTTTTAATTCGTATTCAGCACTCGATGTATGTTTTTGATTATTGGTTTACATTCCTTTTATTTAGGTTAATCCCGATGAACCATATGAGATAAAACTGCCCAAGATTGATATATCGAAGACCGCATATGCATCCCTCATCAAACGGTTTAAAAAGTCAACTAGTGATAGGCAAGTTTTCGCTTCGAAAATTATCAGTTGGTTTTTCGGTATTCGGAGATACTTTTTTTCGTGGATTTTGTTACTCATGGCTTACGTTAGAGAGGCTATAATATGAGAAAACGGCAGTTCGATTTTTTGTGCTAGCTAATACTCGCTTCGTTGCTCAATGAAATTAACGTTACTATTGGCCAAGCTTAGCGGTGGTTCATCATTTCTAGCTTTGTACTCTGCCTTTAGGTCTACGTAAATATCTGCTTTAAGGTGGTTAGTTAATTGAAAAGGACCACTTTCAGCCTGTGTTACTTTCTTGGTAAATCTCCGTCGCTGTGTCCGATTTATTCCAGACTGAATCCCAATCACAGTTCTGTCAACTATGCAGAAAGCGATGATAGACGTTTGGTGCCAGATATCCAAAGAAATACTTCTGCTGCTGAAACAATGGAGGCAAGAGAATCGTCTGAATTTTCGCCATTGTCGGAGGCTGACTACGAGCATTGTTATCAAGAGTATTATCGGTACTACTATCCACACTACTACACGCATTTCTTGAAGGGTGACAATGCTGAATCTGCAAATGAGTCCTATCTTGTGGCGGAATCCGCTCGGGCAGCCGCTACTGCGGCTTCGGCGGCTGTCAACGCCATGCGACAGTCCTATCTAGCTTCCAAGTCCGGGTTAGTGACTGTTTCGAATTTAGTCTACATCCCATACCAGCAGTCATCCCACCAGATTGAAATTTTTATTTAGAACTACTTTATTTTAGGCGAACCCATACCCGATCCTCTTTTTTTAATATTTATTTCTGTTTCTTAAATTGTCTCAGTTTCATATCTCCCCCATCTGATCTTCGGGGAATTATTGACAAAATGGCAGAGTATGTCGCTCGCAATGGGGAAGAATTTCAAGAAGTAGTAAAGAAGCAGAAGCAGAATGACACTCGTTTTGCTTTCCTGCAAACGGGGCATATTCATCACGACTACTATCTTGCAAAGAAGAAGGAGTTTGTTGCAAAAGCGTGCCCAAGCATGCGAGGTGAGACGAGGTCGCCAAACATTGAAGTCGATCGAGATCGTGAGTCTACGTGCGCCTTTCTAGGGCCCCATAGTCTTGACAACTAATGGCTTAATTGAATCGTTTACTACTAACGTTTGGTAGCTGAAGAATTGTGCTATCTTGTGACGTATACTTTTAGCTTACTTGTTTTAACAATTCGAGAGGAATCTAGACATCCTAGTCATCGATAACTACTAAACCCACTTGTTGAAAATTTCATTAAAAGTGGGGGACTTACACTTGACTAAAATACATTGTATTCAGGCTTTAAAATAACATTTTAGCTAAGCATGCGACATTGAAGCAGGAAAATAACAGCCCTACTGTGGCTCGCAACAAAAGTATCTCCTTTCGCCTGATTAAGTCGGTCAGTTCGAGCCGCCTAAAAGGTATGGATGAATCCAGTCCCTCTCCAGCTGCAAGTTGTGAAGATCCCTCCATCCTACGTACATCCTCCTACAGCGTCCTCCCCGGCATGAGTAACTACTCCTCCGCAAGCGATATTGAGGAGAATAATGAAAAGGACCCACCTAATTTCTCTCCATCATTGAATACTCATGACGGGGAGTCTATGGAACGGACATTTGTTACCGTCCTGGAGGTTCCGAACGGTGGGTTGATTTCTGGCCACGTTGCCTCTTTCTAATCAACCCAATTGACCTAAAGCATGTGCCGGCATTTAATTTGCGCTATTGTTTACAAGGCACAGGAGATAAAATCCAGTGCACTTTATGGTTACGGATGTATGCATGGGTATTTCTGCTTACTTCTACACTCGAAATGTGAATACGTCATTTCGGATTTTCCCCTTTTACCACTCTGGTTTTCGAACTAGGGGCGTCTCTTATTCAGCAAATCTTCAGAAAGATCCATCCTAGTTTTCATAGGTTTGTGTATGTTGCCATTAAAGCTTCCTTACCAAACGGATCACAATGGGAGGCTACCACTACATTATCATCCTCGGGAAGGTCTCCCACACCACCTTGCTCATCCAGACATGATACTACACCAAGTGTCTTTCCTACAACCGTCGACGGCGCTCCCAAGGCCGTGAGCACGACCATCCTCACTCCGGAGGAAATCGCACGCGACATCCAGTCGATGGAGGAGCAGGCGCGGTTGCAGTTGGAGCGACGCAAACGTGCCGCTCTGTTCGCGGCCAAACTGCGGCAGTCAAAATTGATGAAGGTAGAGCGAGAGGTGGAGGAGGAGGGAAAACACAGCAGGATGTCTAGCCACCTCACACTGTCCCCGTCTCAATCAATTATACTGCAAACAGCGACTGCCGCGCCACCCCCTCCCCCCTCTTCCGTGCCTGCTGCAGTCGCACACGCTGTTGTGGCGCAACTGAAGACACAACGCGAACGAGCTCTAGAGGCTGCTGCTGCCGCCGGTGATGAAAGGAAGAAGGCATGCTCTCCCATTCCATTTTATGCTTATTTGTTAAACTGGTGTCGTACTATGTCTGGCTCCATCGGGTAACTTTCCGGCATACTAGCCTTCAGGCGTCCTACGAAGTGTATTTCCTCGTCCCAACTATAGGCACACAGTAAGTCGAGAAGTCCGCCAGCAGCCTACGCTAGGCGTAGGGAGCGATCCTCCGCGTCATCTCCGGACGGTGGTACTGCGCGTGCTTCGGGCTGTAGTAGCAGGAGCCAAAGACGACACTCCCGATCCGTTTCCCGTGACAGAGGTCGGAGCCATGTCAGAAAACATCATCGGAAGAGAAGCGGACAGCGTGTTTGATTTTGTCCCTTATGTTAACAATATTCGTGCGTAGCGATTACTTTTACATATCCGATTTCAAAGGTTGCTGCTTGTTGAGTTAATGGGTGTTTTTTAATAAGGACTTTCGGATTTTGTGTGCAAACCATGTTAAGCCCGAAGTGGAGCGCGCAATGTTAATACAGGTTCACTACACCAGATTGATGAAGCGTCTTCAAAAAAGGCCTTTACATACACCAGCTGTCAATAGAGGTAGAGGCGGCTGCACGTCCTCAACCTCTGCGCAAGTAGCAATTAGTTTGTTGGTAAAGGTCGATGGCTGTTCAACAGGTCTTGAGTTCCTGTCAATCTAAAATACGGAATTTGTGAATGAGGAAAGGAAGGAATAGGTTAGGGATATCTCAGCAGTCATCATTGGCAAGAATTCCCTTTCTATTACGATGAAGCGGTTAGTCAGAGGAGCTATGAGGGAAGGCGGCGCTGGTGGGGGTTTTATGGTGCTTTTATCGGTGCTTACATGTTCAAGATTCGATTGACTTGTTGTTTCAGCCCTTGGTCGACGTCGAGTGGGTTGTTTGAGTTGTTGGTGCATTCCATGATAGAAGCCGATCTATCGTTGTTTGTAAAATGGGCTGTTGGCCGTTTAGAAAACACTTTTGAATTGCCACCTCTAACGGGATCACCTGACTCGATATGACTCATGATTGAAGGGATGTAGGCACCGGATTTCGATTGAAGTACCGTGGAGGCCGATTTGGGCTTGGTAAAAGGGGGATGAAGTTTATCTTCTATTATTCACAAGGTCGTAGCATTTTGAAAAAAAGGCAAAAATATTTCGCTCAGTATGAGTTGAGTGGCGTATAAAACGAGTTGATTATTGAGTCAGGCGCAGTTGCTAAGCTGCACCGCAAGCATTACATTGCTGTAGTACTTCTGTCGGATTGGAATAGAGATAAACTGCATCGAATGGTAAATAGTAAAAGGTTTGCATGCGAAACTTGTGTGCATAGGAAGTAGTCTGAGGTCTGAGAGCAGAGGTAGAAGACTCACCAAGCTCAGCTCGTGAAAGGCTGCGGTAGCAAGGCTCTGAGGTAGAGCCTTGCCATGAAGGGGTTCAGTGAAAGGTTGAAGAGGACTGTTCGGACCGCCTCTCTGGTGGATTGGGGCGCCTTGCTCGAAAGTCTGTCGAAACACGGGATTGTTAACTACAGTAAGGACGGCTTGGGCTTCGGTGATTGGGTTTGTAGATCCGGCATTACAATCTTCCTTATGGATGGAAACCCTCGGAGAATAACGACCAGAAATCGAAGCATCAGGTACATCCTGGAGTTGGCATCTACCAGAAAAAGCGGCAGATGTGTTGATGCTCGACAGCAAAGGGTCGTTAATTTCCACTGAAGCACTCGTTTCTGAAAGTGACTGCAAAAAGCAGCTGATGAGCGCGGCGACACTCTTATATAAAAGAATTCAACTTGAGTGGTTAGTGAAAAATCTCTTGAATAAGCCACGGGATCAAGATGGTTAAGGCCTTTTTCCGTAAAATTAGATTTCTTAGTAATTGGCCAATGCACTTCAGGCCTCAAGCTAGGCTGCCCATGGTAATGGTGTATATTGCACAAGCAAGGGTTATACCAGACTTACAAGTTGGTCTTGTGGGTGCCGACTTCTCCAGTAAACTAATTGTTCCTCTATTGGTGGATATAAAATATTCAAGTGGGGCCTCGGCGTAGCTTCGTCCGAATGTACACGATCCGATCGATCCGCCGAATCAGGCGACAGACCAGTGATATCGTGAGGGTCCGTCCGTCTGCTATCATGAGGAGTCTGGAAATCAGTTGGAATGAACACTTACGTACATAGTTTCTTGGTGTTTCTCCTGACAAATAGCCAAATATATGTTCACGAACCAGCAGTACAAAGTTGCCTATTAACACCTAAATGCTTACTTAATTAGATGATAAGGATGCAATAAGGAGGCTTATCACTCAACCCGAGATGCACCGATTGGCTAAGTATTGAAAAATATGGAGACGGTTTTATGCGTTTTTAGAGAATATGGGGGTCATTGAAAAGTGGGTTGTTGAAAATAGTTCAATAGATTGTAGTTCACTTGCGCGGAAAATATACATAAAAAAGTACCTAAAATAGACAAATTCAAAAAGACGAAACAAACAAATAAATGACAGCTTGCATCAAATACCCAATTTTTTTTTGTCAAAGGATCATAGATTACTGCTTTTAACTGAGAACCTTGTGCGCATCAGGAGTGGAGCAAAATAGAACAAAGGAACCTTACAAGCTTTTCCTTGGACTTCAATTTCTCCTTATCCACAAGGGGACCGGCTTGATTTGTAGCAGCTTCTCGAATAGGCTTCTCGATGGCACACACGCGCAACTCAATTCCGGCAACTCGATCAACAATTTGAGAGAGCTGGTTCGAGAGCGTGTTGAGGGTGGTCAAAAGGCCGGGCAGGTACTCATTCTTTGCACAACCCAATGAATCTTTAACAATACTCGGAGAAGAACCCGGCTTTGGCTTTGACTGCAGAGGGAATGCTAACAATGTGCCCTAAAATCCAACAAAAGGAAATATTGACATGTGATTTGTTATTGACAGTACCCAACTTGGTAATGTTTGTATCGAATCTAAGTGCTATGTCTTCAGAACATTGATCAAAGTGGAGTGTATGAAAGTGGTGTGTTTACTCTGTGCAGATGGTCAGGGCTCAAACGATCATCTGCGCACAGTGATTCCGCGTCTGTTGTTGGAGACGAAATGGCGTCAGCTTGTTGAGGCGGAATGAGGAGTCGCGTTTGCTGAGTAGAAGACAGCTGATTCTGCTGCGAGGATCGGGGGAAGGTCGTGCCTACGCCACGCACCGCCCCGCCTGCGCCATCACCACACGCCCCTTGAGATGCTCTCTGGGAGGACGATAATGGCGGCAGTTGCAGTACTGCAGATGTCGGCAGAGATGGGTACAAGGACGTTACCTGGCGAATCCCTCCCGGACCAGCGGAGGGGGAACATATCAAGCTAAGCACATCGCGGTTCTTTGGTGCCTTTCTGCGGAGATCTTTTTGAAGTTCGCCAACCGCCTTTACGATTTCGGTAGCCATCTTAAGTTTCTGTCCCGCGAATGAATTTGTGAGAAATTGAGTCAGTGAAAGGGGGGGTTTCATAGTGAATATATCGCGACAGATTCGATAAAGTAATTCTATGAAACGATGATCCTCGGTTTCTGAAAGGAAAATCATTAAAAAACCCATAGATCTAGACTGCGCTTTTGAGGAAAGTAAGAGTCAATTAATATGGAAAACGGAAATGGATCGCAAACGTGGTAGGACACAGAGTATGACATTTAATAGTAGAAAACCTACCATGTAAAAGAAAATTATTTGATGAAAGAAAGAGAGAAACTCTACTGTCGTATTCGCAAAGAAGATGACGATAAAGCTTGATGAAGGGGGGACTCAAGCCCAGAATCATGCTGAAAGGAAGCAAGTACATCAGGGTTTAGATATCAGCGGATGATAAGAAAGGTGATGGAGGGAAACTTACGAATGGAAATCGACATCCAATTTTATGCGAAAAAATCGTAATTGACGACGTAGCGCTTCAACTGCCTGTCTTAGATCTGACATTTTGAGCTATTGCATGGCCAACCCTTTCCTAAATATAGCACAAAAACACTGATAAAGAGGCAATGAGTACAGAAATAGTCCCTTTTTTCCCGTCAAAAATAACAAAACGCGAACCTGAAACCCACTAAACTATCTCACTTGACATTTATTCCCAATGCGTGTAAGATCTAACTTCCAGAAGATAATATACTAACGCGATCGACCAAATGTGCCAAATGGTTCCTTGATCGCACAACTTATAAACCGTTGATTTCAACAGCGAATGGCCCCATTACCAGAACATAATTTATAATTCAGGTCGATCTGAACTTAAATTGATACCTATCCATCCCGTGAAGCTATCAAACACGAAAATGCCATGGTAAATCGAAAGCTGTAAGATTGTAACTACTTCGTACGTTTATTTCAAATTCATACTAAGCCCTATCCTCTGCAACCCCTTTCTAGTAACATTTTAATATGCTTAAAGTAGTTTACAGAACACTATTAAGAAATAAGGTGGGATTTGTACAAACAAATGAAAATACGAATGGTGTAATACGGTGGCTCGGGTGCGCTTCACTGTTATTATTAATTTTTCTGACAGGGAATTTTAATAACATTCAACATTTCTTCGGCCAATGAGGTCCCCATCCAAAAGATACATAACTTACACTTGGACATAAGCCGACACCTCACCTAATCGCTCCACCACTTCGCAGCACAAACCATCCTTAACAGGTCATTCTAATTATTTATCATTAGGCTTTTCGCGGACAATAGCTGCGAATTTTGATGTGCTGTTTAAAACGTTATTTAACGAATAATTTTCACCCAAGTTGTTCATATAATACATGAGCATATAACCTAACCTTAGCACACCAACAAACTATTCCACACCATAGTGGGTATATTCAGCCCATTGAAACCACAAAAGTACATTCACTCAGGACCCCGAAGAATTCGCCAAAAGCAAAATTCTGAAATTTGGGATAAAAAGTGGCGAAGTGTCTTGCAGGGAAGAAGATATACCTGACGAGGACCGAACAAATATAAGTGACGGATTTGACAGAGCATTTTAGATAAATTGAAATCTGAAAAACTAATCACATTTCCCTTAAATTAGACCAAAGCGTAAAGATATAAATACAGCCAACTGCCGTATTCAAGTGCACAATGGCTATAACTCCGGCCACTTTGAAACCTATGCACTGTGAAAAGTTGGAATTCGTGAAGAGCGAATAGTAATACGAATGAGCAAGTGCACAGTGAAACCATGAAAGCCGGTGTAACATTAGTGAACTTTGAGAAAAAAAGAAACGAACTTATCGGATTAATGGCATATATTAAAATAATAAACCAGTACAATGCAAACTAAAATAATGAATACATCAAGCTGAAAATAAGAAGGCAACCAATCAAGTATGAAAGACATTGGTGCAGGGGATTTAGTGATTGAGGGACGTTACGTGCTGTAGATGATGTTAGGCTGTCCTACGGTGCGTTCGTGCGGCATCCAGGGGAAGTGGAGAGCTGGAATACACTGAGCGAGCGGACCCAGCTGATACAAAGAAGGCCGATTCGAGGATATAACAATTTTCTTTTCAATCTCAGAGGTGGCTGTGCCGAAAGCTGCTTTGAGGTAATCGTCGACGGCCCTTTCCGCACATTCGGCTAGAGTAAGACGTATTCAAACAACAAGACACTGAGATGGATTTCGAAAATTAAACTACATAATAATTCTAACTTCTGTGGCACCGAAATTCACAAATAAATTACAGATTCAAAAGCAACTTTTCCAAATGTGATTATGAATGCGGTTACAGAACCTCCTCGCCATGCGATTACGTATTCAGTGTTAAAAAACGGAGGAAAAAAAGCATGAGTTAATAGTTTTGTTGAAGCACATTATTAGTAAGTGCATACACTTTATTAGCAGTGACAGAAATAATTAAGGCTAAAGCCACATTACCACGCGGCTTAAAACCTTTTCGAACGATAACACAGAAGGACCTAAACCTAAAGCCTCGACCAAAGGCACAAAATAAAATTTTGGTGAATGCGATAGCCAACCTACCAATAAACCGAATAAAAGGCCTCACATCACCCGAATTGGCAGCTTTCAGGGTTTCATAATAGATGTGCCGATCGTCTTTCCTCACAATTGCCGGAGGAAAGCCGGCCCTCATGAGAAGAAGATTCATAACAAGTCGAGATGTTCGTCCGTTGCCGTCGTAGAAAGGGTGAATGTATACGAGTTTCCAGTGGGCTAAGGCGGCCAACTCAATAGGATGCATGGCCGCTGCTTCGTCGGAATTGATCCAGTCAACAAGCTCTTGCATTAAATCGGGTAACATGTTTGCTGGAGGTGGAATATGGTCACCTACAAAGACCTGCGAATAAGTTAATAATACACGTTACCGATTTTAGCAAGCAGACAAACTTAAAGATAGCAAATTTAGTGATCTTAATAAAGCTATATTGAATACCCCAAAACGCACGAGGAAATCAAGACTAGTGCCAAAAAGGAAAAGAAAAGCACAAATGCTACGGGGTACTTTCAAGGAAAGTCAAAAATTTAATATTACTTGCGTTTGTCGCAGATGACCAGCCTCAGCCAAGTTAATAAAAGATAAAACTCTCCGGTGCAGTTCCAATATGTCGGACAGCGAAATGGGTGATGCAGAACCACTGAGTAATGTTGTGTTAAGATACTTGAATGCTGCATCTAAGCCAAGAATCTAAAGTACAATGAAGGTAGAAGAAAGTGCCAAACTAAGAATTTATTGTAATTAAAAATTTTTACCTCATTTTGTTCCTGCAGGCTTTTTCCACCAATGGCTAAACGCGTTTCTAAAACAGCTCTAGTCTGAGCTAGAGATAGTGTGTTCCCCTCGATGGCATTAGAATGATAAATATGTTGAAAGTAATGCTCAATTTTCGCTTTCTTTAGTCCGGGATCAGATTCCGGAACAAGGTAAAAACGCACAACTTTTAAGTCTATTTTCTGGAAACTAAAACGCGCATAAACGCTGTTGAATTTAAATCAGAGTAAAAACATAAGTTCCTAATGCTTAGTCCAACATTTAATTCCTACCAGAGCCAATATTTACTATAAACTAAAAGCCGGTTACGTAAGGCATTGGTAATCAGTGGAGTAGCGAGCGAGCCATTACCAGTTAGTGTAAAGTAGTCCTCTGATGACACAAGATAACAATAAGTAATTAAAACTGACCGTTGTCGATCTATTTTTTCTACTATTGGCAAAGTCCTTCGCCTATTATTTGATGCTCGAGTGTTGGCAGGATCACTGATAAGCGCCTTGGTATATAGTGAATCCGCAGTTACAATGCTTTCCACTTGGTCGGGACTCATGGAAGTAATAAGCTCATCGTAACTGAGTACAGCTGAGTTAATTTTATTTCCCTTCGACGTAATCCACAATTTCTCAAATGCCTCACCCAGAAGGTTAAGAATATCGGAGTTTTTAGGGTCCAGCTCTGCTGCGTGTTTCAATAATTTCAAAGCCATTTCAGAATGACCAGCAGCTTGATGTTTAACTGCCAGAATCATGCTCATCTTCGCTTCCTTACAAAGACCTAGACATGTAAAGTTAATGAGTAAACCTACTAGCACATTCAACTGAACCAGCATTGGCGAATTTCACATAGTCATTAACACGACTTTGTGTGCTGTGAATCAGCGAACGCATAGGTTCATAGTCGTGCAAATTAACATCAGAACCGATGCTCACACAATGTTGTGAGGTGGAATTATCAAAGTTGGTATTACGTAAAAAATACTTGCGTGTGATCACGTAAAGAGTAGATGACTTTAAAAAAACTTCAAGGTTCGCCAGTTTAAGGCAATTATGGAATCCAGAAGTTAGCTTGACCCACAATGAGTAGGGGCAAAGAGCAAGACAGAAAATGACTAAGAAAACGTACAACAACAAAAACCGCCCACACGCAGGCATTATAGAATAAATGACCCAATGAACTCATAATTAGCGCTCTATGATATATACACAAGTTATAAATACAAACACAGGTTAGTTTGAATAGCATGCATAAGTTACATGACACATTTGTTTTAAATTAACTACAGCACTGCATT